CTCACCGGGCGCGGCAGCGTGTGCAGCTCTGCCCCCAGCACACACTTCTCCTTCTGTTAGCCTTCCAAATCCCACACGGCGGGAATGCTAACTCACATTTGAGATGAACCCCCGGCACTCTAGAGTTAGTCAAATACAAAATATCCCAAGATGCTACAGTGGCAATTTTGATGGAAAATGATAAGTTGTGCTGGTTTGGGCTGAAGTGGAGTTAAGTTTCTCCAGAATGGCTAGTATGGGGCTGCGCTGAGGATTTGTGCAGAACACAGAGTTGATAATGCAGAGATGTTTTTGTTATTGCTGAGCAGAGCTCACACAGAGCCAAGACCTTTGCTGCTTTCCATACTGCCACACTGGCAAGGAAGTTGGGGCTGCATGGGAGATTGGGAGGAGACACAGCTGGGACAGGTGACCCAAACTGACCAAAGGGATATTCCATAGCACAGGACATCATGCTCAGTATATAAGGTGGGAGGAAGAAGGGACATCTGGAGTGGTGGCATTTGTCTTCCCAAGGAACCGTTACGTGTGATGGGCCCTGCTCTCCTGGAGATGGCTGAACACCTGTAAAGTAAAAGCTTGTAATGAAAAGTTGTCTGGTAATATCAAAATTGGCAAACAAGTACACAAATATCTCCATGAAATATTAAGAACTAGTCAAAACTAGGTTTATACCAAGTCATCATTGGATAGTCTGCATTGGAAATGATCCACAAGGATCAGGTCCAACCCCTGACTCCAAAAAGGTCAATCCCAAAGTAAAACAGTGTTGTCCAAACACTCTTAAACACCAACCAGGTGAGGGCCATGACCCCTTCTGACAGGGGAGCCTGTTTCAGCACCCTCTCAGTGAGTATATTCAATCTGAATATACTGATAAGACATGAGAATATGGCTTGATGCTGCATCAGGGAAAGTTCAGAATGACTATTTGTAGTACACTGTATACTCACCTCATGCAAAGCAGGATGACAAGGAGTCACTACAGAATGATTACCCCATTATAATGTGCATCAGCAATAGAGTCCCAGCATGTCAGAAGCTGGTCTGGGTATTTCCTGACACAGCTTTCTTTTCAGACCACCTGCAGTTCCCAATTTGAATCAAGAACTTTTTGTAGGGCAAAATAATTCTTGCGGAGAAACAAAACAGGTTCACCAAGTTATCTTTCTTTTCTGAAGGAGGTACTCTTAACATATTAAATAATGAGTATTTGCTTTGTCCAGTAAATTAGAACTCCAGGCATTTAGAGTTTCTGATAAAACATTTATCTGTTAAGACAAATAACTAAAGACAGGTGTACCATTGAACATACTACAGTACACTAGAAGAGGAGTTTACAATTACCAAACATATTAACTGATTAGCCAGCCAGAACACACAGCACACCATAGGCACTTACATTAAAAGTACAAATAAATATTGTAGCAGCCTACTTGGAATTGTATTCAATCAGGCCTTCTTTCTGTGAATAATACAGCTTATACACAGGCTTGGATGCATAATTTGTAAAATTAAATATTCACTGAATACTACCAACATAAATATATATATGCACACACAGTTCTAGGAGAGGCTTATTTCTGATCATTCTTTGGAAGAGGTCTTCTGAAGAGCAGAATGTGTGGCTCTGCAGAAAGAAAATGGAACAAAGTGTCAGTCTTGTCACTCAAGTCCTGATTAAAGGAATATCATTCAGCAAGTCTTGAACAACATTTGATGCTTGCTGTCAAATAAGTAATTCAGAAGTCCAAATATGGCCCCACATGTAGCATTAACTGAACACAGCAGTCAAACAGGAATTTTTAACTTTTTCACCAAATGTTGGCAATATCATAAACTTAAGATATTCACAGGAAGGAAGTACTGGAAGAAAACAGACAGTATTTTTAGTCAGTATTAGTGCTACCTACCTGTCTGTTTATATTAGCCTATTTAATGAACTCTGTTACCGTAACTAAGACTAACAAACCACTGATGCCACCTATTAGGTATATCGTGTTGAGCACCAGCAAAAGCCATAAGTTAATACAGCCAGCTGACCTACTATTCATCTGATCTAATTGCAAATGCTTCCAAAAAAGTATCAAAGGTACCCAGAAAAGGGAAACTCTGGAAGGTTTTGCTGATTTCTTCACCTGGTTCTTCAGAAACTTGGGAACTCAATGCTGCTGCAATTCATCTATGCCCTGTTACTTTTAGTCAGGCTTGCCAATGTTAAGTTACCTGGAATGGCTGTAGAGTTTTAGGGCCTCCCACCCCATCAGCTGCAATACTGTGTTTTCAATAGGCCATATAATAGTTCAGACTACACTGTAGAATTTTCAGAGCATTAATACAGGACCTTGCCTACCTAAGCATCTATGAAGTTGTACAAAAAAAGCAGGTGTGTCAGTTGCTGATTTTTATAATTTAAAAATCGTCTGCTACATAAAGTTTGGTTCAGTCACTGAGATACTAACATTATATAATAATTCACAAGAAGCCTGTTTCTACAGGCAGAGGTAGAAACACTTCCCAGTCCAGCACTTTTTGTCTAGCACTTGCAGTTCCAGGAGCAGGATGTGGGGAATAAAACCAAAGCTCATCTTGCCTTTGTTAACAAAGGCTAAAATATCAAGGAGATGAAGAGTCTAAACATTCATTTGTGAATTCCAGTTGGACTCCACATCAGAAGGAATCATGTATTACACACTTCTGCTAAGCACCAGGCAGCTGACATTTCTAGAGTGTTCATCTAATTCTGTTCAGATGTGTTTACCTGGCTCATGGATCATATAGTGAACCCAGCCAAGACTTTGCTGAATACCAAGTTGTCTCCACTCCTCTTCAGACATCAGACGATTTTTTGGCAATTGTTTTGAAAGCTCTCGTGGCAGCATCACATGTCTGCAGGTTTAAACAGACATACATTAATGCCTCTGTGCACTAAAAACTTGAACACACCTGTACTCAAAGACAGTAAATTAGTCTCGTTAGGAACACTCACTTTCCCCAGGGTGCTGACTTACCACAAATTTGATTATGAAACATCTCTCCCAGAAGGCAGCTTAAAATTGCTTTAATGTATTAAACATTTCATCTGCAATACAACTGTATATTGAAAGCCAACCTGCCTTCCAGAAGAGATTAATTCCCTTCACGCTCCAATTATGCTCCATTTATATAGAAGCACATGTTCCTGGCTGCTATTTGAAAAATAAGGACTTTGGGCTCTCGAAATACTTGTTATACTGCTTTCCAATAAGCCTACAAGAGTGAACTTCAGTATCAGTTATAACCCAGAAGCGACTGGACCATTGGAAAACCAACAGATCATAGCCAGGTCTCCAAAGCCTTACAGACTGCATTTATTAGTACTACGATTTAAAGCGGCCTCGGGCACTGCCTTCACGGCTGACGCTT